CACACACACACACACACACACACACACACACACACACACACACACACACACACACACACACACACACACACACACACCAGCCCGCTGTACGTCCTGCAGAAACAGGTAAACAAGAATGTGTGTGTAGAACAGTAGTTACAGTTTAGTGTTCTGTTTGGCATTACCAAGTTTTTTCTCCCTTTCATTTTTACAAACGACAGACACCCGCGGCAGAGAACTTTAATCAAGGTCTTTTTTTCTTGGTTGTCCACAGGACAACCAGGAGACAGGATCTGGTTGTCCGAAATGAAAATAGGTTGTCTCGGACAACCTAAACAATGGTTATGTCTATCCCTGTATGTGCTAACTAAAAATAATTGCTGTGGAAGGCAAGTTCTGCCTTGCAGATATTGCATTGTACAGGTTTCTTTTTTATTTTCATAAAATCAGTGTTTCCCTTACCATTACACAGGCCCCCCCGCCAACGAGACGGCCTGCCCCTCTAAGAATTTCACGGCATGTAGTCATTTTTATTTAAACAAGTCCAGATCAAGTCCAGATCAAGTCCAGAGCTATTTTTTGCGTCCCTCCATATCCACCTCTCGCCAAACTTGGGGAAAAAAGACGGTGCTGAGTGCTGTCTGTGGTCCTCACAAAGATAGGGCGGCTGTGGTAGAGTGGTTAGGGGAGTCGACCTGGAGGTCGCCGGTTCAATTCCCGTCCACTCGACTCAGTCGTTGTGTCCTTGCCGTTGTGACCCGCCTTRCCTACTGATGGTGGTCAGAGGGTCCAGTGGCGCCGGTGTATGGCAGCCTCGCCTCTGTCAGTGCGCCCCAGGGCAGCTGTGGCTACAGTTGTAGTTTGCCATCATCAGTGTGTGAATGTGTGTGTGCATGGGTGAATGTCTGCAGTGTAAAGCACTTTGAGTGTCCCTGATGGATAGAAAGTCGCTATATAAGTACAGTCCATTTACCATTTACCATAGGAAGACGTGTGTGTGTGCGCTTGATGAAAACTGCTTTTAATCACGTAGCACCGATGCGACAGCTTTGCAAGCTAATTTTTCTTTGTTTAAAATAAAATATGGCAGATGAAGCCACAGCATTGTTACCTTATCAATAATTTAGAATCACCAACAGACCCCGCGTGCGACCAGGTTCCCGCGAGTCCATTCATGTTCTATAAATAGCGCTGATCAGCAGCGCAGCTGTAATGTCCCTCAACTTTGAAAAAAGTAACCAGAGTAGTTTGTAAACTCAAATCCAGACAGAATCA